CGCCTACATTCTACACATTTCCGCCTCTACAGGAATTAAAAATCCCAATAATTCACCTTACGTAGAAATTCATAAAGAATTTCCATTTTCTTTAAGATTTCAAATAAAAAAGTTCTATATGTTTTTAAGAAACTAAAACCATGTGCACTGTCAGTGCAACTGTTCGCTGAAAAACACGACAGTAACACATCCCGCACGTGCGGGCCCCGGTTGTTCAAAAGTTGGTTGTTAACTTTAACCAATGATTAGTGAAAAATTCAAATAATTGCCACTACAAATCAAGAGCTTTCAAAGCCAAATAAATCCTAAAAACACACCAATCTGATTATGAAAAGTTCTTTTTACACAACCAATAAGAGGTTCTATGTGACGTTTTGATGACTAGTACGGTATTGTATACTGTCACCTTCTGCACACAAAGGTGTAAAGTGTGTACGCGTTGTCCACAAAATCGATGTCAATTCGGATATAACAACTATTGTACATACGCTTACAGCGTAGCTGAATTGACATCGATTTTGTGGACAACTCGTACACATTTTACACTTTAGTGTGCATACGCTTCACCTGGTCATCTATCTGATGAAGGTGACAGTGTATATACCGTACTAGTCATCGAAACGTCACATAGAAACTCTTATTGGTTGTGTAAAAAGAACTTTTCATAATCCATACTTACCAACCCGAAGAAAATGTTTAGAAACACCAATCTGATATCTCTAAACAAATCTTAAGCAGTGAAATGGTGTCTGAGGTTCAAATATTACTTGTATTCATATTTGAAATTTTCGACAAGATTGCAATACTCTTTTGACTTTTTGACACTGAAGGGAAACTAACTTTCGGCTTCTTCTATCCATCAAACTTGGAAAATCATATATCATGGCCGAATATTTCGGCTATTTTTCAGAATCGATCACTAGCTGTCAACTGTTTTGTTAGGTTCATTTCCTCCAATTTCCCCCCCAAAAAACACCATTTACAGCATCATAACTTTCAACAATGACCTTCCAATGTAAATGACCAGACAATGACCTTCCAAAGATAACTAACAGGAACATCCCGTAGGATTACCTTGGTCTCATCCTTCCAGAGGCGATAGCCAGCTAATAGCGTCGACCTTGACCTTCCCAAAGCGACTACAACGTTCTTCCACTGCTTTAAAACATTGCAAAATGAGTCACCGTAATATATGTAAATTACGTTTTTCAGAATATGACTTAATTATTTTGTTTCAAATTCAACCACTAATTTCAATTTGTTATGCAAATGTATATACATATATCGTTGTTCTTTTCTGCATTGAACACACTTCCCCTGATTGGGGAATGGATGTGCCCGAGGTCAGACACTGAACCGTTCCAGCCTTACATTATAGCCCATACAGTCATCAAAATATGCCTATTATCGTCAATCTACGGTATATATTGCTACTTTCTATCAGCACAGTCGTTCTCACAGGAATGCACACAGATTGATAAATAGTTGTACAGGATAGGGGCGAGCTGCTTTAATGAGAATCCATGTAGAAGTTCTAGTCAGTTTCACGCTTGGTGGAAGTGCCATTCTAGGGCGTACGGTTAAACCATCATACAGACGTTGCCAGGAATTCCCTGATAGATTTTCCATGTCCCTTCGCTTCGGAACACTGCTTATCTTTCGTTTGGCATGCAATGTTTATGCTCGCTCCGAAAATCATGTTAGAAAGTCACTGATCTGCTCAAATGCGTACACAAACATGTAAGAAACGGACCAGCGAAGCACATCTACAATAATGTCTCTATGGCAAAGTTTTGGTGTTGAACAATAGTTAAATATTGTGTAAACAATAGTATATCAGGTCGTTTGCTATAACATGATGTTTCGTGAATATTTGTTATAGTTCAGAGAGTGTCGGGAAGTGACATCGGCCATAATTCTGCCATATTGAACATTTGATGTGCATCTTATAAGTGATTGAACGATATCCCGGTTTCGTACTATTGGTGATTAAATATATGTACAAAACACAATTCTCTAACAGGTATATATCGTATAACGTCTGAATAGCATAGGTTAATTCGGTAAAAAAGGACAATAGTAAGACCATTTTCATTTTTACTGCTGACCAGTGGTGACCGGAACATTTCGATCATGCTGACCAGTGGTGGCCGGAACATTTCGAACATGTTGACCAGTGGTGACCGTAACATTTCGATCATGCTGACCAGTGGTGGCCGGAACATTTCGAACATGTTGGCCAGTGGTGACCGTAACATTTCGATCATGCTGACCAGCGGTGACCGGAACATTTCTACCAAGCCACGTCATAAAACAGTGACTAGACAACGCGCGCTCACCTACGTATTGGTTATATCGCTTCCTGACGAAAGTGCCTGCAATTGAGAGTCAATGAACAGGCACTTTGTTAAATAAAAAGTATTCGACACTTCCACTAGCCTCATGGATCAAAAATGCCAGTTCTGAACACAACTGACGCGAGCAAATTACATCCTTAAGTATTTGCCTATCCCTAGAAGTTTAACCTAAGAAATTTGATGAAGTGTTGGTGTGCGCTAGAAAAATCATCTGTGTATATGTAGTTTTAAGACCCAAAGGACTAGCCCATAATATGTCTTTTTTTCTGTAAATGGAAACACAAAACACTTGCAATAGATTTCATCAAATCCACAATTATAATAGGATGTAAGGTAACGACCCTATTTTGAAGATGGGAAGCTATCATCAAATTCATTGAATTTCAAAAAACTACTTGATATTTAGATACCGGTTATGATCAGGCTTTCGTCAACTTTCACTTAGGACAGGGAACTATTTTGATTGGTAAGTTCATGGGTAAATAAACATGTCAAAAGCGTTCACTTCATTTTTTTAATTGAATAATATTTGGAAAAAAAATCAAATTATTTAGTGTAAAGTGTTGCTGCCATTTATATGTCGAGACTTTCAGGATAAAGGGTAAGGGGGAGTAGATTTAGTCACAGAGACAAAATGGCCAAATAAACCTAACTTGATACATAAATCAAAAGTTATTCCGGTAGGTGTCAAGCTGGGTTTAATTTCTAGGTCAAGCATGTAGCTCAAAACTCGGTAGACGATTTTGTTTCAGTTACTTGAAAAAAGTACCTACAAGCCGCCTTAACTACAAAAGTTCAAAGTAAAAAACTGCACACTGACCGGAAGCCCTGCTTACAGTAAACTGATCATTTTATTGGCCCAATAAAATGATCAGTTTACTGTAAGCAGAAAATAGAAATTTCCCCAATGGGGAAATTTCTATTTTGAATCGTCCAAATGACATCTTGACTGTTACTTTCACATATAGTTTCAATTTGCTAGGAGGCGAACATAGAACCATTTTGTCGATTTCAAGTAACGTTTAATGCTATATCACGTTAACTCTCATCTTATAAAATATCTCTCTCTCTAAAGCCAAGTTAATTAAATTTCTTTTACTATAAAACGTTCTTTAAAAAAACTCAGAAAAGCCAATATGGAAAAAGTGGCTATCTATGACTGCAAGAAACTCGGAAATGGAGCGTGTTTTTGGAGAAAACAGAGATCATTTCTGCGTAAGGAGAAAACGATTTACGTGCATATAGGTGTTTTTTTAAAGAATAATTATCCATCTTTCCAACGGTACTAAGTATTTATTGGTACATCAACAAGACACGTGGTTGTTCATGCAAGCAAGTCAGATTGTTTTAATTGTTGCGACATCGAGCGCTTTCCTCGTATATATGTATCATCATCGAAAACAACGGCTTTACCACTGGCTAACATAATCCCTAAAAACAACAATGTAAATTAAATACTGAGAGTTTGTATACCAATATAAAGGGTACTCACCGGAACATACAACACATTCTTACGCATATCTCGTAACCAGGCATCACCATGCACGAAGAGATTCCTATTTTTATCTTACGTTTAAGATCAATCAGAGTTCGACTTCAAAAATAAAGAGGAAACTTTATTGAAATCTTATCAGAGGTCTGACTACTAGGTCAGGTTTAAATGCCTGAGTATAAGAATCATCTTTTATAAATCACAAACAACCTGCACATTCTGACGTGTAATTTATAATATAAATTATATATAGTGTTTATATGAAATACCGCGATAATATACAATACCGCAATTATATACAATATCATGATAATATACGGAATAATGATAATATACAACATCGTGATAATATATCGTAATACTATACAACAGTATGATAATATACAATACCGTGATAATATACAATACCGTGATAATATACAATACCGCGATAATATACAATACCGTGATAATATACAATACCGCGATAATATACAATACCGTGATAATATACAATACCGCGATAATATAAAATACCGCGATAATATACAATACCGCGATTATATACAATACCGCAATAATATACAATACCGTGATAATATAAAATACCGTGATAATATACAATACCGTGATAATATACAATACCGTGATAATATACGATATTATGATAATATACAATACCGCAATTATATACAATACCGTGATAATATACAATACCGCGATAATATAAAATACCGCGATAATATACAACACCGCGATAATATACAATACCGCAATAATATACAATACCGTGATAATATAAAATACCGTGATAATATAAAATACCGTGATAATATACGATATTATGATAATATACAAAATCATGATTACATACAATACCGTGATTATATGCAATATCATGATAATATACAAAATCATGATTATATACAATACTGTGACAATATACCGTATTGTGCTTATATACAAAAATCCTATACCATGATGATATATATATTAATACAATATATGTGATGCAATACACCGCAAGAATAATTAATTTAACGAGAAATATCGGAAAAAGAATTGAGCTAGAAAAATCGTCCGCATCAGTTGTAGCAAACATTGCCTAAATCATCTTTAACTAAGCTGTACGATGTCAACATCTGGAACAACAGTACATGCTATATATTTACCTGTTTGACACTAACCTCCCATTTATTACAGCAGTATGTTTCCGTAGCGACCTGTACCAATGCCACTGATTCCAAGAATCCCGGGAACAATTTGTAATTGTCGGCTCAAAATAACCGATGATGCCAATAACACGGTAATTTCCTTCCACTACATGTAGTTACATTCTGTTTTCATTTTTGCCATTTTAACATTTCTCCACGAACCAGTCTCCTCCACCTTTGGCGATTCCTTTACCGAATGAGTTTAGCCTGAAAGTCAACAAGATTTACTCACTTTACCATGGGTTTATATACTGTAAGACATGGACTGGCTCACTACGCCGTCAGCTGTTTGGTGTTTACCGACACCTTAACATTAAAATTGTACGCTGTTTAGCATTTTAACTGTCGGTTCTAGTTTTGTATATAAAAAAAACATGGTCAACCCATATTCTATACATTGTTATAAAATATTTGGTAGCATATCATTCCTAACGATGCACTTGGGAAAGTCTTTGAACGGCTAGTAGTAAAATATGTAAATAACTATTTCTCAGATAATTCATTAATATATAAATATCAATCTGGACTTGTCACTCTACTGTTCATCAAATGATAGAAATTTATCACAAATTATGCGAAAATTTAGAAAAAAAGGCATCCTACTTGCTTAGTTTTTTGTGATATATCTAAAGCGTTCGATCGTGTGTGGCACAGGGGACTGAAAGTGAAACTAGCTAGCTATGGTATAACTGGGAAATTATTAGATTGGCTGAGTACTTATGTTAGTGATAGGAGGCAGCACGTTTTATTGGTAATGATAAGTCTTCTATTAAATATGCTAATGCTGGAGTACCCCAAGGCTCAGTACTTGGCCCTTTACCTTTTATTTCATATATAAATGATATATCTGATAATCTTAAAAGCTTATCCAAATTATTTGCAGACGTTACGTCTTTATTATGTTCTGATACGTCTCCACAGAACTTTGAAGCCACTATTAATAATGACCTAGGAAAAAATTCAAAGATTGGGCGGATAAGTGGCTGGTAAAATTCAACCCTGCAAAAACAAAAATATTGCTCATCTCAAACTTCGAACTAGACTATGATAGATGTAAAATTTAATAATGCAATTGTTGACTTTGTGGACAATCATAGGCACTTAGGAGTAGTATTAGATGAAAGCTGTAAATGGAGCTCCCGTGTTGAGAATATATATGCCAAAAAGCATCTAAGCAAATAAGCGTTCTTCGTAAATTGAAATATATGTTAAATAGAAGAAAAAAACCTATAAACAGAATATTTAGATCATACATTCTCCCTCTTTTAGAATACTGTTGTGAAGTACGGGATAGATGTACTCTCGATGATGCAGACAAAATAGAAAAACTTCAGCTAGAGGCTGCAAGGATAATTACTGGGTTACCTTCTTACGCAAGTAGAGTCTTTGTACACTGAAAGTGGTTTAGAAACTTTATCTGTGAGAAGATCAAGAAGTAAATCACAACTGTTTTTACAAAATTCATAATAATCTCGCACCGAACTATCTCGTCTCTCTACTACCCCCTTTAGTGTCAGAAAAACTCCCGTTATAACCTCCGTAATACTGAGAACTATACTGTATACCTAATTCCCGACTACAACTAACAAAAACCTCTTTTATTCCCGTCCACAATCCGACTCTGGAACAATGTAGACCTTGATATTAGACGCAGAGTTTTGTATTCAGTTTTTAAAAATACCCTCCGTAAGCAAAACTTAATTCACGATCCAAATTTTTACCTCATCGGCGACAGCAAAAGGAATATTTACATTCCAGATTACGAAATCGTTCAAGTACCCTAATTATCATCTATTTCATGCCAATTTATTTGATTTCCAGCATTGTCAGTGTGGACATCCTGTAGAAGATGCTTATTGTCTTTTGCAAAATTTAATAGTTTTTTTTTGTAACTAAAAGGTGCGCGAAAAAAAGATACCTGTAACTGAGCAAGATCGGGTTATCGCAGTCTCAGGCTAAGAATATGTAACATTCCAACATCGGCTTGCGTCTCGGTTGGGATTATGTTACATACAATATTTTATTAATCTCTGTTTAGATATAATTGTAACAAGAGAGGGCTAAGGTTTAAGAGGTAGCCGAGCTTCTTAGTTTGATAGGATGTCAGGGGTTATGGCGACTGATGATAGGAAGTAGTTCAGGGGTCATAGTGACTGGTGCTTGGAGGTCAGCGGTTATAGCGACTGATGATAGGAAGTAGTTCAGGGGTCATAGTGACTGGTGCTTGGAGGTCAGAGGGCCTTGAATTTGACATGTTCTCTGATAACATGTCATAGAAAAAGTTAGCCCCGACCAAGATCTACCAGAAGTTTGAAGCGTTCAAGCAGTACAACGAAAGCTTTGGAAGTTATGATCGTTCGAAAAACGTTTTTAAAAACTCTATTTATAGATCTGTGACCTTGAGCTTTGACATTATGATAATAACTTTGTTCGCATGCCATGTGTTCGTTGTCCTCCAATACATACTGAAATATGAACGTTATTTCTGTATTCGTTCTTGAGATAGAGTGTCCACCAGATCATTTGACCCCTGTGACCTTGAATGAAGGTCAAGGTCAAAATGCTGAACTCTATGTGAAGCCGAACATACATACTATAGATGTTCCAAATATCATCTCTGTATGTGTCTTAATTACGATGAAGAAGATTTTTAGTGAATTTTTGGAAATTTTGAATTTTGGCGGGAAAACGAAATACTCAAAGTGGCATTTTTTCGTCATTTTTGATGCGATTACCTTGAAACTTTGGAAATACCTTCATTAGAACATACCCTTTGCGAGGTGATAAAATTGAACTGATTTTGAGTTTTTCATTTTTGACCTATATTTGACCCCATAGCGAGGCTTTGAACTTGACATATTCTCTGATAACATGTCATAGAAAAAAGTTAGCCCCGACCAAGATCTACCATAAGTATGAAGCGTTCAAGCAGTACAACGAAAGCTTTCGAAGTTATGGTCGTTCGAAAAACGTTTTAAAAAACTCTATTTTAAGATCTGTGACCTTGACCTTTGATATTATGATCATAAATTTGTTCGCCTACCATGTGCTCGTTGTCCTCTAATACATACTGAAATATGAACGTTATATCTTTATTCGTTCTTGAGATAGAGTGTCCACAAGATATTTTGAAATTAGAATAAGAAATTTAAAGAAAAAACATAACAATGCCAATAGGTATTTCCAGCCGAAATGGAAATCTCTAATAACTTTACCATGTTGCTGGTCTTTCTGTGTGCAGACGAAAATACCAGCAAGCGACGAATGTACAGGAGAAAGATTTATAGCACGGGGTGTGATGAACATTAGAACATCAGACAGTGAACGAATACTAAATAGAGTATCACTAGTTCCGTCTGCATTGAGAAAGAGTATTCACATGGACAGAGATGCAATTTTACACATTTTAGTACAAAATCTAGCTTCTCCCCCCCCC